GGGACTAGAGGGTAAGAAAAGTCTACGTGTGGGGGCCCATTGGAAGACGTTCAAGTAGCGAAGGAACGGAGCGTTGCGAAGAATGGGGTTGTGAAGATGGAGGGAGGGAAGAGAAGGAACAGGAAGTGGAATCAGTGTCCATTAAAGGGTTTTAGTCTCTGAAATATATTCTGAAAAGGGCTTCAAGTTTTTTCTGAATTCAAAGATGTATGGGAGCCCATATTGGAGATAGAAGGAGGAGGGTGAGTAAAGATTGGGACGTAATGGACTGTCCCAAAGTAGAGGGGGAAGGAAAAGAGTGTAAGGGACTGGAGATAAAGTGTGGGGGGGGGGACGAAGAGGCGAAACCTGGGGGTGGCAGAAGAGGGGAGAAACTTGGGAGGGGATGGGGTGGAAGGCATAGACAAGGAGGAGGGTGAATCTCCACACTTGTAATAGAGCCAGAGGAGAGGGGAAGAACTAGGTACAGAGCTGGAAAGGTAAATGTGGAGGTGGAAAAAGGGGAAGGAAAGGGGGGCAAAGAAGATTTGAGCAATGTGGATTTTTTGGACTTCTGAGTAGAGGGGGGGATTGGTATTAGGTGTCGTACGAGGTCTTGTCGATACTGGGGCTTGTGAGGAAGGACGCGAACATGTGAGAACAGACTGAGTTGTAGTCGAGACGTCAGAGCCAAGGACAGCAAAAGGATTAGATGCCAGAGTGGCTATGGGAAGGGTAACAACAGAGGAGGCTGCAGAAGATGGGACCCCAGAAGTGGGGGGATGTTTTGAAACATGAGAATAAGAAACACGGGGTAGTCTCCCTTGGAGGCGGAGATGAGTAACTGCCATAGCATAAGGGAGACCTTCTGCCTCTTTGAGGCAACGGATTTCACGTTCATCTAAGTAGACCTGGCAACGGCGGGAGTACGTTAAGGCAAGATGGAGGTTGACTGCAAGATGTATTAGAATGGTCGTCGGCACCACAGACTGGGCATTCGGCCATAGATCTGCAATATTTCGCTGGGTGACCAAAACGCCAGCAATTTCTACACTGTTGCGGTGTAGGTATCACCTTTTGAACTTGTAACCGATGTCCCGCGACATATACAGAGGACGGGAGTTCTCAGCTCTCAAAAGTTAAATGAGCCACATTGCAAGGGTAACGTCTCCGCCCACGGGCAGGAAGGACATAAGTGTCTACTTTGAGGATTGGGAGATCCTGGAGTTCCAGCTGTTCAAGAATGTCATTGCCACATGACTTGAAATTCTGTTGGACTATGGTATGGGGCAGAATGACAGTACCAGAATTGAGAGAAAGATGCTTTTCAATAGTGATAGGAGTAGTATCGATATTCGAAAGGAGAGAAAGATCATGAGCTTGGGTAGCATTCTGGACAGTGACGATGCGAGTACTGCCCTTGAGAGCATGAAATGAAATATCTCTACCAACATGACGCAGGAGCGCTTTGCCAATACTATGATCAGAAAGGTAGGCAGAAGAAGAAGTCGGTCTTAAAGTAAAGAATTTAGTCCATTGTGTGGTCCGAAACTGAGCGTGGAGAGGGAGTGCTTGACGTGTCGGTCTTTTCCGAGTAGAATGGGAAGGTAACGAAGGAGCATCATCAGGAGATTGACATTGGCGTTTAGGAGTAGGACCGGAGTTGGTCCGGCGTGAAATGGGTGGGCGATTCGAAAATTGCCGTACCGTAGAGGGAGAAGCCGGAAGCATAGTCAAAGGAGAGCGGAGTTCAGACAAATCGAAAGGAGTCAGTCGAAGCCCGGTACCTGAAGCGGGTGAGGAAACAGCACCAGCAAGAGGTACAGGGGCATCGGGGAGTGTCCGAAGAGTGGTCTAAAACAAGGCAGGGTCAGAATGGGGTGCGGTATCAAGAAGGGGCCCGGGGGTAGTGGGTTCATGGATTTGGGGTTTTCCATGGTTAGGTTACTCCTTTGCTTTTTGTTTTTAAGAAAAAAAAAGAAAGAAGAAAAGAAAATTAAAATAAAAAAAAAGAATAAAAAAAGGGGGGAGCGGGGAGGAATAGTTCCCAGGAGGAGTAAACCAGCAATCCGGGATAGCAACCTCACATCTGCCGAGCTACCTTGGTGGACAAAAGAGAGGGCGGCCGGATATCCTCCACAAAGCATACCTCCCTCGGCCACCACCCCCGGAATCCGAAAGGTGGCTTCCAGAGATACACCCATTGCCCGAAAGACACCCAAAGCTACTCCGGGATACCCGAGAGGGATCGGGACATCCCCAGGCGATCCAGATTCCATGGCAAACTACGCCACCGCCAAGAACCTCAACGGAATGGGATGGACCCCGGTATCCTTTCCTTACCCAGGAACTAGCGCGCCTGTGGGAGAAATCCCAAAGGCCAAAAAAAGGAAGGGCAAAAGGGAGGGGGGGGAGGAAAGGAAAAAGGGGAGGATGGGGAGGGTTGGATAGGGGAGGGGAGATTGGGGGGTAATTAGGTTCGGTCTGAGGAAGAAGACCGACAAGTCTAATTCCTCAGACCCAAAAGCCTCTTCACCACGCCAAGGAGCCCCCTTGAAGAGGAAAATAACTGATAATACTATCTGATTCAAATTTTTTTAAAAATAATATAATACAGTGGACCCCGCCCTAACGATTTTTAAACCGTTGCAAGAGGGGTAATTGTTATGCGAAAAAAATCGGTATGTGAATGAATTTTCCCATAAGAAATAATGGAAATAAAATTAATCCGTGCAAGACACCCAAAAGTATGAAAAAAAAAAAATTTTACCACATGAAATGTTAATTTTAATACACACAAACTGAAAAAGGCATGCACACTTACATGACACTTACTTTTATTGAAGATCTGGTGATGATTGATGGGATGGGAGGAGGGGAGAGAGAGTGTTTGTGTTTAGAAGGGGGAAACCCTTCCATTAAGACTTGAGGTGTCGAGTCCTTTTCTGGGGTTACTTCCCTTCTTTTTTTAATACCACTAGGACCAGCTTCAGAGTCATGGACTTCTTTCGCACAACATATCTGTCCATAGTGGCCTGTACCTCTCGTTCCTTTATGACTTCCCAAAGTGTTTCACAACATTGTCAGTGTACAGGTTGCCAACACGGCTTGCAATAGCTGTGTGAGGGTGATTTTCATCCATGAAGGTTTGCACTTCAAGCCACTTTGCACAGATTTCTTTAATCTTTGTAGTAGGCAACTTCTTCAATTTCCTCTTCCCCCTCTTGAACCAGTTTCCTCAGGTCTGGCCTCTTGCTCTTGAAGTTGATCTATCAGTCTCGTGGTTAGTTCTTTATTGTCCTCCAAGGATTTCCCCAAAGCCACAATGGATTCCTCAAGTGGCATAATCCTCTCAGGGTTAGCCTCAAACCCTTCAAATCCCTTTTGTCTACACAATTTTGGCCACAGTTTCTTCCAAGCAGAGTTCAAGGTCTTCTTAGTCACTCCCTCCCAAGCCTTACCTATAAGGTTTACACCAATTGAGGATATTAAAGTGCTCTCTCCAAAAACTCTCTTAGAGTCAGTTGAGTTTCTGAGGGGCACTACAAAGCACCTTTTTAAACAGAGCTTTTGTGTACAGTTTCTTGAAATTTGCAATAACCTGTGGTCCATGGGCTGCAGGAGAGGAGTGGTATTAGGAGGGAAAAACTTCCCTTAATGAAGCTCATGTCCCCCTAAAGTCGCTCTGCCACGTCTGTGGATGACCAGGGGCATTGTCTAACACCAGGAAAGGGACTTAAGTTCTAATTTCTTTTCAGTTAGGTAATCTTTCACATTGGGGGCAAATGCATGGTGTAACCAGTTATAGAAAAAGTCCCTAGTGACCATGCCTTACTGTTTGCCCTCCCCGCACACACAAATTATCTTGAGGACATTCTTTTGCCTGAACGCTCTGGGAGTTTCAGAGTGATACACTAATAAAGGCTTAACTTTGCAATCACCACTAGCTTGGCACACATCAACAAAGTAAGCCTGTTTTTTCATAGGCTTATGTCCTGGGAGTGCCTTTTCCTCCTGAGTATGTAGGGCCTGCTTGGCATTTTTCTTCCAAAACAGGCCTGTTTCATCACAATTAAACACTTGTTGAGGTTTCAGTCCTTTCACTGTCTATGTACTCCTTGAATTCATGCACATATTTTTCAGCCGCTTTGTGGTCCGAACTGGCAGCCTCACCATGCCTTATCACACTATGTATGCCACTACGCTTCTTAAATCTCTCAAACCAACCTTTGCTGGCCTTAAATTCACTCACATCATCACTAGTTGCAGGCATTTTTTTAATTAAATCCTCATGCAACTTCCTAGCCTTTTCACATATGATCGCTTGAGAGAGCTATCCCCCTGCTAGCTGTTTTTCATTTATCCACACCAATAAGAGTCTCTCAACATCTTCCATCACTTGCGATCTTTGTTTCGAAAACACAGTTAAAACCCTTTGGCAAGAACAGCTTTCCCTTTATTGCCTTTCTGGTGCCCACAATAGTAGCGATGGTTGATTTGGGGTTTCTTGTACAAACCCGACCAGGTCGGCGATACGCACTCCATTTCTACTTATCAATGATCTCTTTCTTCATTTCTATTGGAATTCTCACCCTTATTGGTGTACGGTTGGCACTAGAAGCTTTCTTGGGGCCCATGGTCACTTATTTTCCAGAAACAGCACCGAAAACACTGTAATAATACGAAATATTCCGATTGTATGCTTGGATGTTACCACGGAGGCTGGCTGGTAAACAATGGCACGAGCGGCACATGTGAGGCTGGCTGAGGGCGCACATTGGACGCGTCTCGGACGAAAATCGGTGAGCGGGTTTTTAAGCGGTATGCGCGGCAAAATTTTTGCGATTAAAGCAAGCGGTATGCGGATTAATCGCTATGTGATGCCATCGTTATGCGGGGGTCCACTGTACTGTAATAATTATGGTTATTTTCAAAATTTATAGTTTTATTATAGAACAACAGGTTCAAAAAAATGTTACATAAGATAATTTCTTCTTTAAAAATGCTATAAATAATACCAATTTCCTTACAAACATTAATATATTTTTGATAACATTATTAATGGTTGGTGGTGCATGACAAGAGAGATCTAAAGATTGGAAGATAAATATAGATCATAGGTAAAATATATTGTTAAGCCAAAAACTAAAACTGCTTATTTAAAACATAATAAAGTGCTTTTTCAAAAATTTTCGATAGTGAACTGTCAGCAGCTACAGTATGAAAATACTAAAATATTAATGTTTTGAAAAACACTCATATTTTTCATGTGCAGTATCTTTAGCAAGTTGGTGGTCGTTCACAGTTGGTTTCAAGATCATTCACAAAGACTAGAACTTTGATAGTGCTTCACAATTAGTGTCACGGTCAGTCCACATTACCAACTCTATCATAGAACTAATAATTTTGAAAGTTTGATACAGTTCAAAAGTACAGAAATCTCTTGCTTATTAACCAGGATGCACTTCACAGCAATATTTACAAGTGAATCCCATGTTCCTATAGCTACCCATATTATAATTTTAGAGGTAGTTTTCCTATTAATACAAATTTGGGGCAAGATTTAATGTTTATGAACTCTTAAAGAATAAGAAGACTCATTACTGTGGCTGAAACAATTCACAAATAACCTGCACTTAGATCAGAAGCCTTATGACAACCTTTCAGCCCATCTTGAACCATTGTCAAGTCACAAATGAAGCAAGACAATGTCCAGGATGTACTGAAACTGAGTTATAAGGTTCCTCTCCTAAATGCTGATTATTCATAAATTTATGAACTTATATTTCTTTATGTAACAACATGTGTCTGTATATGTATGTGCATGCACAGTACACACAATGCCAGATTCATGGAAAAGTGAAAACATTTTAAGAATAAAAGGTTATATATTAGATCTCATGACTTATACGACAACACTAAACTTAATACAAAATACAAAAAGAAAAGAGATGAACGAAACGTTTTTTTAAAAACCACACATATGTACACACAGAAAATTACTGTACACACACACATACATGAACATTAACAGAAAATAAGATTACTATCTCCCTAACTACAACATCAGGGAATGCAATAACAAGCATATTACAAATGAAACGAACAAACATAAATCCATATACTTTTTAAACACAAGAGATCATTACAGCCCCTCCCTATCTTAATACTGTAATAGACTATCTAACACAATGCTTAAAACTGGTAGAAAAGACGGCTACAAACATTGACGAGTGAGTGTAGCTAGAGCAATTGACAAGGGCACTATGAAGGTGTGTGGTTAAATGGGTTCATCATTCATTTTAAGGTTACCAACCTCATAAATGAATTACACTCTATACTTTATTTATATACTTCATCAACATCCAATAATTAAAAAAATATATATGTATATACATATATATATAGATATATATATATGAAATGAAAATATGAAGATGGCCTTTTTAACAATAATTATAATGTGGTGATAAACTTGTTCTTAACAATTCTCCAGTGCACCAAAATCACCAAATGCATTTTTTCAAGGACACCAAAATAAAATAAAATAAATATGCACTAAAAATTAATCCAGACCAAAGAAGCTGTGGCAGTTTTATGAATATGTTTCAAACACAAATAGAAATATACATATAAAATAATCTTCGAGAAAAACTAATAACTAATAGGCAATGACAGGTGTCATGAGGTAATGAGAAGAAAATAAAGGTTACAAATGTGTTTAACAGCAATAATGAGAAAGAGGACATGTTTACATGTTAGTCTCTTGCTGCTGCTGCTCCATGTTCAGAAATAAGAATTAATTTATGTGAAATTTGAGAGAGGGTTATCTATATAGTTTTCTAGGATCAGAGGATTATAGTAGCAAAGAGTAAATCACACATTTGTTTTTATAGTCCAAACTTTCTCTTCTGGTTTTGATGTGAAAGCTGGTTGAAGGTGATATATCTTTGTTTAAAATAATATTTAGCAGTAATCACCGTACACTCATTCAGTGATTGAAAACCATTACACAGAGGTATTCATAAAGAGTAATCTGCAATTACAAAGCTCCACTACTGCAAATGCACTCCTGGTTATAACCTTTTCTTTAACACTGGATATAGAGAAAAACAGTATGTGAGGAATACTTGAAATTTAACTTTCTTTCCCTGTAGAGGTGAGCTAAAATAAATTCTTGATGACAGACATTAATGGAAAATTAGCAGCTCATATGAAAGATGTGTTCAGGAAATAGTTTTACAAATGGCAACCTAAGTTCAATTATTCTTTAGAATTTAGGAATAAATTTTTGGGTCAGATGTGTTATAATTTTGCTAATAAAGGAATGTTATTTGTTTGAATAGGGCATAAATATAAAAATAATTTAAAATGACATGACCAAGATGACTGGTAATGAATGTAAAAAGTTACCTTGCAATGTACTACTACTACTATATAAAGGATACAAATATTACCAGAACAAGGTCTTATATATATGTATATATAACTCTCACTAGGCAAGTAATGGCATGCATAACATTTCTGTGTCTGGATCTGTGAATGGGCACAACTGTATCAACATTGGAATGTACAATCAGTAAGGAACACTCACCCAAAAGTCAAAATACATATACTGTACACATTCACTGTGACTCTTATTCTTCACTTATACTGTCTATAGTGTGCACGTGTGAAAAAATCAAGACAGAAAGGATGCAGAAAAGTAGGTTCATATAAAAAAAAAAGGTATATAAATTGGGATGGACGGCAGGAGGCATAGGGAATATCTTAAGGGTTGGAAGGAGGGTTAGGAATTAGGAGCTAGGGGTCTGAGCATCCCGCAAGCATGTGAGAGCATATCTGATTGGAATGGACACAGGTGGTTTTTTGGATTCGACATGCTGTTAGTGTGAGCAAGAGAATGTCTATGAAGAAACTCAGGGACATGAGTTAGTCAGCCTTTAATTTTGAAGGTAAGAAGTACAGTACCTGCACTTTGAAACATGGGTCAAGATATTGAGCTTCGGTGGGTCTGTGTTGTGATATCCATGTAGTATTTCTGGAAAGACAGCTTGGTAGTGAAGGTTGAATGTATGTTTCTTTTGGCCACCCTACCTTGGTGGGAAATGACTGATGTGTAAAATATAAAAATTATAAAATAAAGAAAATACTCAGAATTTTTATTGAAAAAAAAAAAAAAAAGCTATGGAGACATCAAATTTGCAAAATGAAAAATGCTATATATTTGTGTCCTGGCAAAAACTACAAATTTAACTCTTGGTAATACTGATACTATATATCATCTTCCTTGAATTTCACACAGATAAATTATAACAACCTGTATGTATAAATAATCTCCAATGCCCACAGCTACGACCGCAGCCTTTCCATAAACCACTGAATCAGTGAGTAGAAAATAAGAGCTACCAGAATGGATGCCCATGTTTGGGTAGACAGTGGGATGCCATTTTCCTGAGATGACGTGTCAATGCGAGCAGTTCCATGTCTTGAAATACCCATAGTTGATATCCGTCGAGTTAAACTATCCATGTCCTGACGCACCCCCTTAATTTCTATTAAGAGAGACTCCTGCACTTTGGCTACTTTGTTCACAGCTTCAAGAATACTGCAAACAAAGAATCACAGTAATTATATTTTTTATTTTTCATGATAAAGTCATACAGATTTACAGAAAAGGCCTATGAAAAGTTACAGATTGATAATAATAATAATACCTAGGTAGTAGGTTGGTAGACAGCAACCATTTGAGGAAGTACTACCGTCCTACCAAGTGATTGTGAAACGGAAACCTGTAATTGTTTTACATGATAGTAGGATTACTGGTGTCTTTTTTTTTTCTATCTCATAAACACATGGGATACCAGGTACAGTGGACCCCCGCATAGCGACCTTAATCCGTGCAAGAGGGCTGGCTGTTATGCAAAATGTTCGGTATGCGAATGAATTTTCCCCATAAGAAATAATGGAAATCAAATTAATCCGTGCAAGACATCCAAAAGCATGAAAAAAAAAATTTTACCACATGAAATATACATTTTCCTACACACAAAGAGAAGGATACATGCACAATAGTAGAGTAGTACATGCACAATATATATTGTGCATGTACTACTCTACTAAATGAAGAATAAATGACACTTACCTTTATTGAAGATGCAGCAATGACTGATGAGACACTGTGTCCTGGGAGTGCCTTTTCTTCCTGAGTACTGTAGGTCCTGTTTGGTATTTTCTTCCAGAACAGGCCTTATCACACTGTGTATGCCACTACGATTCTTAAATCTCTCAAACCAACCTTTGCTGGCTCTAAATTCACCAATATGAGCACTAGTTCCAGGCATTTTCCCTGTTCACCTGGGTGTTAGTCGACTGGTGTGGGTTGCATCCTGGGAGACAAGATTAAGGACCCCAATGGAAATAAGTTAGACAGTCTTCGATGACACTGACTTTTTTGGGTTATCCTGGGTGGCAAATCCTCTGGGGTTAATTGTTTCTTGGTATTCTCAATAAGCCACACCAACAACGGTGGTACAGCAGCAGCAGCAGCTGACGGTGGTACAGCAGCAACAGACGATGCTACAGCAGCAACAGACGATGCTACAGCAGCAGCAGACGATGTTACAGCAGCAGCAGATGATGCTACAGCAGCAGCAGCAGCAGACGATGCTACAGCAGCAGCAGCAGCTGACGGTGGTACAGCAGCAACAGACGATGCTACAGCAGCAACAGACAATGCTACAGCAGCAGCAGACGATGCTACAGCAGCAGCAGACGATGCTACAGCAGCAACTGACGATGTTACAGCAGCAGCAGACGATGCTACAGCAGCAGCAGACAATGCTACAGCAGCAGCAGCAGCTGACGGTGGTACAGCAGCAACAGACGATGCTACAGCAGCAACAGATGATGCTACAGCAGCAGCAGACGTTTGCTACAGCAGCAGCAGACGATGCTACAGCAGCAACTGACGATGTTACAGCAGCAGCAGACGATGCTACAGCAGCAGCAGCAGCAGACGATGCTACAGCAGCAGCTGACGGTGGTACAGCAGCAACAGACGATGCTACAGCAGCAACAGACGATGCTACAGCAGCAGCTGACGATGCTACAGCAGCAGCAGACGATGCTACAGCAGCAACTGACGATGTTACAGCAGCAGCAGACGATGCTACAGCAGCAGCAGCAGCTGACGGTGGTACAGCAGCAACAGACGATGCTACAGCAGCAACAGACGATGCTACAGCAGCAGCAGACGATGCTACAGCAGCAGCAGACGATGCTACAGCAGCAGCAGACGATGCTACAGCAGCAGCAGACGATGCTACAGCAGCAGCAGCAGACGGTACTACAGCAGCAGCAGCAGCTGACGGTGGTACAGCAGCAGCAGCTGACAGTGCAGCAGCAGCTGACAGTGCAGCAGCAGCTGACGGTGGTACAGCAGCAGCAGCAGCTGTACCCCCAAATTTAGTAGCGATGGTTGATTGGGGTTTATTATACAACCTGGCCAGCTCGGAGACACGCACTCCACTTTCATACTTATCAATGATCTTTTTCTTCATCTCCATAGTAATTCTCACCCTTATTGCTGTAGGGTTGGCACTAGAAGCTTTCTTGGGGCCCATGGTCACTTATTTTCCAGAAAAAATCACCAAAAACACTGTAATAATACGAAATGTTCCGATTGTATGCTTGGATGTTACCGCGGAGGCTGGCTGGTAAACAATGCCACCGGCGGAACATGTGAGCGTGGCTCAGGCCGCACATTGGACGCGTCTCGGACGAAGGGCGGTGAGCGGGTTTTTGGGCGGTATGCGAGGCAAAATTTTTGCAATCAAAGCGTCCGGTATGCGGATTGTACGGTATGCGATGCGTCCGGTATGCGGGGGTCCACTGTATATCTTTATACTTCTACTTACACTTAGGCCACACTACACATGCATGTACATGCATATACACCTACCATCCGACATACGACCATTCAACTTACGACCGTGTTTTGTATGCCAAATTTCTGGGAAATAAACAACTGTTTGTGTTGTACACAGTGTTTATCCTAAACCTTACAGTATAAAATACAGTACTAGCAGCATAAAAAGTAAAGTAAAAAATGAAATACCAAAATAAAACAATAATATAAAGTCATTACAAAAATGTTATGTTGATATTCAGTAGTAAGGTTCAACTTACAATCGGTTGGTCGGAACCAAACTCAGTCGTAAGTCGGATGGTACCTGTATATACATACCCAACTCAATTTTTTTTTCTTAAGAGGAAATAAAGAACAAGAACTATTATCTCCATGGGGAGGTTGAACAGAATTCTTCCTCCGTAAGCTGTGTGTGTCGTAAGAGGCGACTAAAATGTGGGAAGCAAGGGGCTAGTAACCCCTTCGCCTGTTAAAATTACTAAATTTTGAAAGAGAAACATTCGTTTGTTTTTCTTTTTAGGTCACCCTGCCTCGGTGAGATACGAAAGGTTTGTTGAAAAAAATAATAATAATAATAATGATGATGGTTTAACATGCTGTTGAAGTGTGAGAAAAGTAGCATTTATGAAGGGATTCAGGGAAATTGGTAAGCTGGACCTGAGTTTTGGAGGTGGGAAATGCAGTGCCTGCATCCGAGAGAGATGTGGGGATGTTGCAGATCAGAGGGTCATCTGAACCTGATGCCAGCACACCTCTAGCAAGACAGTAACTGAATGAATGATGCAGAAAATGTTCCTTCTTGTTTTTCAGGTCACCCTACCTCGGTGGGAGATGGCCGATACATTTAAAAAATATTATTATTACTAAACTCGTCTGCATGTGTGAGCGTGTTAGATAGGAATGAGTGGAGACGAATAGTTTTTGGGACCTGATGAGCTGTTGGAATGCCACTGATATACCTTTGAAGAGTTTTGAGAGTTTCACTACTCTTGGAGCCCGGTCATCTGGTGCTTGCCTGGTCAACCAGGCTGTTGCTGCTGGAGGCCTGCTGCCCCACATATCCATCACAGCCTGGTTGATCTGGCACCCGGTGAAGGCTTCTACACTTGTTCCAGCCGTGTTTCTGATATCTTCTGGTAAGATGTTGAACAGTCTGGGACCCCAAATGTTGATGCAGAGTTCCCTTATTGACCCACCACACCCCTGCTCCTCACCGAGTAGGGAAACCGGTTAGCCGGACTTGAGTCCTGGAGGTGGAAGTACAATTCCTGCACTTTAAAGGAAGGGTTTGGGATATTGGCTGTTTGGAGTGACATCTAAACTGTCATGTCTGGGTGCCTCTGCAAGACAGCGATTATGTGTGAATGATGGTGAAAGTGTTTCTTTTATGGGTTACCCTGCCTTGGTGGGAAACAGCTGATGTTAGAAAAAAAAAATCTACCATTTCACACCAAAGTATGCTGACTCAGAGGAAGACATTCACCATCATTCATTCAATAGCTTCTTGTCAAAAATGCATCAACATCTCAATTCAAATGACCTCTGAACTGCAACATCCATACCTATATTTTTTTTAACATGCTGGCCATTTCCCACATAGGCAGGGTGACCCAAAAAAAAAAAAAAAAATCACTTTCATTATCACCCACCCTATCACTGTCTTGCCAGAGGTGTGCCATCACTACAGTTCAAATGCCCTGTCAAACTGCAAATATCTCCACCCCTCCTTCAGAGTGCAGACACACTACTTCCCACTTCCCCCTCAAGGAAGGTTCCTTGATGCTGGTGAGGGGTTCTCGATCTAGGAAATTGGATCTGTTCTCCAGTTCCCTGAATTAAACCTGAATACCTTCCACATCCCCCCCCCCCCAGGAGCTGTATAATCTTATGGGTTTAGCACTTCCCCCTTGATTATAATACTCTACTTCCCACCTCCAGGACTAAAGTCTGACTAATCAGTTTCCCAAGTCTCTTCATAAATGTTACCTTACTCACACTTCAACAGCATATCAAGTCATACAAACCATTTGCCTCCACTCCTATTAACCGTTTGACTGTCAAGACCCCTGCTTGCAAACTTCCTCTCAGTGTCAAAGAATTTAATTAAAAAAAAAAAAATTATCAGGAAATGATAGAGAATCCCAATGGTAATGACACCAAAAGTATGAAATTGATTGAAAACTTATGGAATTACGCTCTCACGAAGTTAGTGATCTTTGCGATATTTATGCATCGGTGATTTCACCCACTTTGAGCCCTATTTTCTGCCAATTCCATTGTTCCAGTCGACCAAACTCATAGCTATTTCTTTAGAACTCCATTTGTTCTATCGACTGAGTACAAGAAACTGCCCATTTACCAATTTCAACTACCCAATAAAGTGGTCAGAAACTGGCAATTTGGCCAATTTCATGCAAATTAAAAAAGATGCCAATTTCAAAACAGGGTTAGAATGAACAGTGCAGACATTCCTGGCACTAAAATAACATTTTCTCTGTTCATCAGTCACGTCTCCAAGCCCCTCTTATATTACTCTTGCTTTCTATTTTGAATTTTTATTCACACAAAAAATAGAAAATTTACTGTTATGGAGACTGCTGCATTATTGTAATAATTGTATAAATAATGTCAACCCATATAAGAATGGCTAGTTGAACACTTATTGGACAATGATGTAA